GCTCGTCTAAACTGCCCACCACAAAAGGTGGTTAAAACCTGAGATTTTTAAAGGTGAATATATCAACAAATGAAACCCGGCTTTCGCTTGTCTTCCCCTGTTGCCCTTCCATCACTGCAGTCAAATTCGTATGCTGCCATTTGACAGGATAGATTAAAAACAAAACAAAAAAAAACTTTGCTTGATCTAATTACATATAGTAATCAGCAAAATAGAAATGTAACGTATATGTAACGATACGTTCCACTATTTTAACTGTAACGGAAACTAGTTCCTTTTTCACACGTGAAACTTGTAACGGGAACGCGTTCCAAAAATCAAAAGAAGCAAAAAACGAGCTTTCATTCCTTTTTTTTTTAGGAACGTGTACAACACTGGTTGCTTGCAATGGGAGGCGAGAGGAGGACAAGCGAATGGGGCAACAGAGTTGCAACAGAGCGGGCGTCTGCTCCGTGCAGGCAACAGTCGCGCATACCCTTCCTCAATCCTCTCCCTCAGGCGCCGCCATTAAATTGCAAACGCTCTCCAGGATCTGAGTTGCGCCCCCCCTCACTAGAGCCTCCCTATTGCAAACGGTCTTTGTGGTTTTTGAGTTCCTTCCTCTCTTAAATGTAGGCTTTTTTATGTCATGCTCTTGCATGTCGCGAGCCAGGCGGTGGCACAAGAGTGGCTCACTCTCTCAAGTCTGCTCTGGCTCGCTCTTTGCTTAACAGAACACGGAAGCTCTCCGCAGCGACGAGCATAGGGACGCTACGACGGCGGCTACACTGACGTTCGATCGTCTTTGGTGACGCAAACTGTACCACCAACCGCCAGGATTACGACATGCGACAGCATGACAAATCGGCACCTGTGACGTTATCTGCTAACACTTCGAGACCCATTTTAATGCATGGGCGACATAGGGCGCTAAACATACCAGTGAGAGTCGCGTTTCAGGTACGGCAACCTAATGCGATTGCTCCTTTTTGCGTGTGTTCGCGTCAAATTTCGGAATCAGAAAGTCAGCTAATTATGTTTCTAACATTTTAAAATATAACTCAGACCGATTACCTTATTATCAAGGCATACTCTACGCAATTGCGGCATGGTTTCAAGAATATATAATGATATTAATCGCGAATTGAACAACGCCGTCATAGTTGGCTATGTGCGGTTGCTTGTAAGCTGTTAAAAACTACATCTAAGATGTTCCGCACTGCATTGAACGCGTTGAAGACAAAACATTTTAAACACTTGATATTGCGTCATCTCAATTGTTCCTTCAATCGAGGCTTTTTCCTGGTTCACCACCGACGTGCTTTGGGCTTATCACATAACCGAAATTGCGCCCTCATATGTAGAGATAGCTAGGATCAATATATTTTGCCAAAAATTTGATGAAGTTGGCAAAAGCGGACTCTCTCGGCCATATTCACCAGTCGTGGCTAACTAGCGCTGTTTTAAAGTTTGTATCGCGACTAAGTAGTCGCGAACTAAGAGACAAAATCAGCGACAAAGGATTGACTAGTTCTGCGGTATTCAAGAGCGCGAAGCGAGCGGGTGACTATCTAGTCAGAACAAAGAAGGGGAAGTGACATAAAAAGTTAGGTCACGCGGACGCGTACTTAAACGCCGCTGCGTAAACGGGTATTTCATCGTATGAAAACTAATATTTAAGTGTTTATCAGCAAGAAAAAAGTTACAATGAGAGACTAATTGCCCGAAACGGAGTTTTACAAAGAAAAATTAGAAGAAACGCAAGGAAGAAATACGGAAGCCGCATTGCCAGCGACATAGACAAATATGGAAGCGCTCGTAAATCCGTTTATTTCTCGCCGTCCAGCGCCCTGCTGAGATCGTTTTAGCGGTATCTCTGGCCATGGAACATGGCTATTTACACAATATTTGCTCCTCCTATTCTTTCTACATGTGTCCCCCAGCGTTCCGAGACAGTAAGTGCTTCGTTATCGCTGGCGGTCAGCGGCGATACGAGTCGGCCATGGCGCTGAGCCGTATAGTCACCCGCTAAACACAGGCTATAAACTAGCCCTGCCCCATGACTAAGATTTGTTAGTCGACTTCTTAGTCGCGAGGGGCGACTATAGCCCTAAACACGACCGGTGAATACCAAGCGCTCACTTAGCGGTGACTATCGCTCGCCACGTGCACGTGTATTCACCAGGCGCGACTAACTAGCGCCGTTTCAAGGTTAGTAGCACGACTAAGTAGTCGCCAGCTAAACGAGAAATCCGCGACTAACAAGCGATTATGTTCTGAGGTATTCACAAGCGCGAAACGAGTGGGTGACTATCTAGTCAGAACTAACAAGCGGAAGTGACATAAAAAGATAGGTCACGCATATGCAAACTTAAATGCCACTGCGTAAATGGGTATTTTATCGTATTAAAACTACGCTTTAAATGTTTACCAGGAAAAAAGAAACTTACAATGCGAGACATGTTGTCCGAGACAGAGTTTTACAAAGAAAAATTTAAAAAAAACAAAAAAAAAAACGCCAGGGAGAAACACGGAAGCCGCATTGCCAGCGACATAAACAAATATGGAAGCGCCCGTAAATGCGTCTTTTTCTCGTCATCCAGCGCCCTTCTGAGATCTCTTTAGTGGTCTCTCTGACCGTTGAACATGGCTCTTTACACAATACTTGCTCCTCCAATTCTTTTAAGATGTGTCCCCCAGCGTTCCGAGACAGTAATTGCTTCGTTTGCGCTGGGCGGTCAGTGGGGATACGAGTCGGCCATGGCGATGAGCCGCTTGTCACCCGCTAAACACTGGCTAAACTAGCCCTACCCCATGACTAAGATTTGTTAGTCGACTTCTTAGTCGCGCGGGACGACTAGGCCCTAAACAATACCGGTGAATGCCAAATGCTCACTTAGCGGTGACTATCGCTCGCCACGTGATCTTTTTAGTCGACGACGTCGCTAGTCGGTGGTAAAATAGGTGCCACTCTCGCCTGGTGAATAAAAGGTCTATTGTAGATGAATATACTCTCAATAAAAAAAAAAAACGTCATAGACCTGTATCGAATAACATTAATACGTTAAACCCGTAAACTCTTTTTTTAAGTAATTGCTATAAGCTTTATATCAAAAGATATCGCTGTAAAGGTTTCTCTTATGCGCATAGTCTCTAAAAAGCATTTGCACCTCGAGCAGGTGAACACAAAAAGTCGCTATAGAAAAACACACCTTCGGAGCCTCATTGCAGGAACTATTTTATGAGCTATATCTCAATCGATCTCGAGAGGGACGGGTAAGACTGGAGGATACCAGAATTTCATTTCAATAGTGCAAAAGCACTATGAGCCTCTGCACTAGGTCCCACATTTATATGTGGCATGTTTTGGCTTAACCAGAGACTTGGCACCCCGATTCGGAATTTTTGGCAGATCTTTGTTCTCCGTTCGTTAAACCATTTGAAGTGTCTCCTGTGTATATGGAGTTTTAGTAGTTGGGCATTAGAAAGTGGGTCCGCCTAACTATATATACACGGTTCCAAAGCCTCTTCAAATTATTGGGCCCGTAAGAATAGTCCCGAAGTTTTGCCTTCTATCACCTGACCCAGTGCTCATTGTGGGACTATACGCAGAAGCGTGATCACGTGGTGTAATATCCTCGGATGATTCGTCCTACTAGCACGTAGCTTCACTGTCGAATAATATCAGCGGTGTGTAAAGAACGGATTATTCCACTGAGCAGGATTAGGAATTTTCCCATTTTAGCTTCACTGGCAAGTGGCACGTCAAGATAAAACTGCATTGTCTCGCAAGAAGGTTTGTGTAGAATCATTTTTAATGCAGAGCGAGTTCAAAAGTTTCTTGTATTAGAAAACTACTTTAACCAGAGCAATTATCACGTTCATGTTGAGAAAAAAAAAACATGATTTTACTGTATTAACTTTAAGAACTTCCATGCTTTTTTAATTTAATTTCCATTCTTTATAAATATTAAAAAAACAATTCATTATCTTCTCGGAGTAACCATTGTGCACTAATTACTCTTCTCATTCATATCTTTAGAGGTTTGACTAAACTAAAACAGCGGATAGCACTATGTCATGTGTAAAATGTTTTAGGTTACAAATGTTATACATAACGGCTGTTTCCCCAAAGACTGTGAACAATTTAAAAAAGGGCACTCGAGGTAAACACGTGACTACTTCCTCATCATTTATATAATAGACCGTGGCGGACGTCACGTTATGAGTGTAAAGTGAAATGACATTAATTCCTTGAAATTTACTAATTATTATTTTAAATGTGTTTTACTTAAGACATTTCAATTGGATATTGTTGCTCGTTGTTCAAACATGGCACAACTGGTGATATAACTATAGGTAAACTAAAAGTTCCTAAAAATAAATAATTGAGTAAGTGATGTCGGCCTACGCAGAGTTTGCGGGCCGCAACTCTTCACGGAAAGAACTGCCAGTATAACCTTACCTAAGGATCACGTCGTCAAAGCGTGCCTCACTGTTCTGTCTCATCATGTTTGCAGCTTTTAGCACTCTGCTGTAGATTCGGTATTGGCGGCCTCTAGACCGCGTGAATTCATCATTGAAAAGAAGAGAGGAATTTTAGATTCCTGGCTTCCACTGAATAAGTAAGGATATTTTGACGATTGGCACCAAGTCCTCATTTGGGACGTACCAGATAAGGTGTTTATTTAAACATGGAAAATTCATGGGCTTTACTTAATAGCTTGCAGATTATCACTCTTCATTTGTATACACTGGTCCCGCCGCGGTCGACAAAGCCATTCTGGTGAAATCATTTCTTTACTTGGAGTGTATTTTTTGTTCCTTATTCTCAAATTTTGCTGAAGTGCCTTCTACATATATAAGTTAGTCTTTGGAGTAGCCGGCGCCATTTTAAGGCTGCCAAACTATCCATAGCACCATCTATTTTCTTATTCTATAATTTACCCAAACTGGCATCTAATTTGATAAATAGTGGTTTGAAACAAATCAAGATGATTTTCCAACTAATACATTTGTTTCTCTGTGACTACCAAGGTAATGGAGCACTGGATCGAGAAGCACGGCAATATGTTTGGTTACTACGTGGGAGAAATTCCTTATGTGGCGATCACGGACTTGGAAATGATCAAGCAGTGCTTCGTCAAAGAGGACAACGTCGTCTGCAATCGGCCTTCCCTGATCGTTAGCATTGAGCCGTTTGGAAGTTCACTTGTAGGATTGTCTGGTAAGTTACTCTTATCGCTGCTTCTAAAATTCAGATATACCCTTGATGTCTTTGTTTACCTACATCTACAATTTATATTTAGAGACAGGACAATGTTACCCCGATTCGTCAGGTCACAATATTTTGTTGAAATAGTATCAGATTTTGTAGACAGAGATTCCTCTATGCATACACACTGGCATATTCAGCCTCAACGAAGAAATAAGGAACAGCCATCACACTAAAAGGAACAAATGATGCAAAAAGTCTGAGAAGATACGTATCTAAGGAAAGGAAGACGCGCTCCTTTAGCTTAACGAACATATTGTTGTCTAATCAAGCTGTACCATCAAAAACTATTCATTAATGGCATGATTTAAGTAAGGTAGTAGAAAACACTTCGGTAAATTGTTGAGGAAGATATTGCTATTGAATATATCGGCAAGAGAGCGAGAGTTCAGGAGACAGGGTATGGATTTCATATAATGCAAAACTATTGACATGGGGAATAAGGTATAGTATAAGTTTGTATTTGTAAAAAAAAGACTTCCTTTGAAAATGCATTAGGAAGGCAACACTTTTATTCATGAAGTCATTCATTCGTTTATTTTTTGTGATCATGAGCAGCTGATGCCTGACTAATGATGCGCAAACGGTGAGATTACAAGTTAGTCAGAAACAGCGTGAATGCTAAAAAACTTGAGTTAAAAGCGCTAATACCCGCTGCAGCGAGGATGCTATACAGGTGTTGTTTGCGTTCATGGGGCTAATTGAGATGGCTTTATAAAAAAAAGAGTTAGTCATACTTTAAAAAACTTGCCTTAGAATGTGAATATAAATAAAATAGGGCAATTGAATATTGAATGAATTCACTTATACAAAAATATTGGATGTATTTTTAAAGTAAATCTATGACAGTTTTATTGTTCCGAGATGTTCCTATATTTTTAATAAACCGTACGCTCCGTATAAAAATCATAAAAGAAAACTCTAACAAAACACTAGCACTTTAGTTTCTACCATTACTTGACTCGTACGCCCAATACCGTTCTAAACAACAGAGGAAAACTCCAGCTTGGACCGAATTAACGAAAAGTACAAGCATAGCATGCAAGTTGACTTGGAAAACTCCTTGCCAATTTGCAGGATGCAAATATTCTTTTGATACAATATATACCAACCAAGCTACAATTACTACTATTCATGAACAGCATCTAAGGCAGGCCATGCTAACTCCCCATCATCTGACTCACAAGTTTGTTTTAAGCATCAACCCTGCATTTCACAGTTTATATATATGTAGGGTGGTTCAAGTCTCCACGCTCGATCTAAACTGGATCGTAAATATCGACGCCTGCACGTAGCAGTCTAAACTTTTCGTCAAAGGTGCATTTTACAGGTCGGGCTTTTCTTCGAAAATTACAAAGCGTAGCTCTCTTTCTGTAAAAAATAAGACCAAGAAACTTGTCAGGGTCTACGGTGGGCAGCGACGCAGACGACAGGGCTTCAGTAGCGGGGTGTGTTTGGTGTTCGTATTGATAGATGGCGCTACTTCCTTATCGGGACGGCTCGCGACCACCGTGGTTTATTAAAATGAACATAATCTTTTTGAAATGTACCTTCGGTTAAAAAATATATTCAAAGAATAAAAGCAAAACTTAAAGTAAAAAAACGCGTCTGCATAATGGCGGCGCTTTTGCTGCTAACGGATTTCGTCTGCGTGTCGTCTGCTTTCTTTCGCTAGTCGGCTGCACCTTCAGACGCTGCTCCCGACGCCATCTATCAATACGAACGCCAAAGGCTTCTGGGCTTGGTCGTCTGGGTAGCCGCCCGCCGTAAACCCTGGCAAGTTTCTTGGCCCTATGTTTTACTAAAAAAAAACTAAGCTTTGTAATTTTACATAAAAAAAAAAAAAACGACGAAAATTTAGATGGCTACGTGCAGGCGTCGATTTTTACGGTCCATTTTAGATCGAGCCTGGTGTCTTGGACCACCCTATATTTATGTATTTTTATATCCTTCAGAGCTACTCCCCCAGCCCCAGTACCGCATTGCGTAGTTTTTTCGATCACGAATAAGGAGAAAGCAACATTCCAATGATCAGTTTATAAAATAGGGGTCTCAAAGTTGTTGCAGGTAAGAACAATCATAAAGCTGTGAGAAAACAAAATACTTAGGAAAAGATACACGTTGCCACTTCGGATCATCCGGGTCTTTTAATTTACTTGTGCGTGTGTTTTATTAGACTGCTTTGTATTTTTTGTTCTACGGTCTTTCAATGTTCCTTTTATGCTGTTTCTTTTTTTTTGCGCAGGTGATGAGTGGAAAAGAGTTCGCACTGTGCTGAATCCCATCTTCACTTCTGTCAAACTGAAGGCGGTTACAGAAATTATTCGGCGGTGCGCCGACGAAATGTTAGAAATCCTGGACGATTATGCGGAAAGAGGATGTATAGTAGATATGACCAAGGTGTCGAAAGGACTTTCGCTGGACGTGATTACCAAGTCTGCGTTCGCGTGGCAGGTATTGTTGGAAAATATTCTTAACCCTTCATTTCATTTATTGACCCCAAAAGCAACTATTGATGCATTGCATGGGGGGGGGAATGACAAGAATGGGGGAGTAGTCGCGACTGATACATATATGAGAATCTTTGAAAAAAGCTAACTTATTCACCAATGCAACAACAAAAACGCCAGTCTACAAACGAGGAAAACGTGCAATGAATTGCACGCACATTATGGACCTTTGTCATTAGCATTTTAGGAATATCAGGTTTAGTCATATTTAACGGCCACGGCCGTTTTAATTGGTTAGTTGTTTTTATCGGGAACTGCTGGTGCTCTCAATGGCATGGTCATTGATGACGATATGAACTGGAGTGGCAGCAATATCTTGTTTCTTAGGCGATGGGGTGCGATTTGGGAGTTAATTTCTTTTAAAGGAAATATCTCACTTGCACTGCTCAAAAATGAAAAATAGATAAATGGACAAAAAGAAAAATAGATAAATATAAATGAAATGGGAAGACTCTCGTACTTTGTTTTGGAACTTACAATGATTCAAACTACAGACCTTTGCAAAACTATCTATTGTGATTAGGAAGGCTTTCCATAGCATAGAGGACTAAGCTTTTTAATAAATTGCTTAGTTGGCACCTTTTCTATTTCCGTAAAAGCCTACACTGAGATAGAAGAAATATGAATGTCTGTGAATATTTACTCAGTAGCTTCTTGTAAATTTACGATGTATTCAAAGTTGCCAAGAGGCACACATATTTGTTTTTATACTAATAAAATGAATGTGTAACCAAAATTCCTTACGATGAGCTAGGCGGCTTAGTCATGCAAGTGATTTTAAAAAAATGGTGATATATGTGTCCTACACAGCAAAGTACAACATCATCTCCTCATATTTATAATGCATGGTGCGAATAGAAATACTGATAATTAGGAATTTAATGGCACAGCAGCAATGAAGGTTATTGCGATCCAAGCTAAGCGAATAGCAAGAATGGAGAAGCGTCTCTAAGGCTTTCGTGCTCTACCAGTTGACACCGATTTTTAGAAAGTAAATTTTATTACCACAAGAATCCGCTAATGCTGCCTGGCCGGCATGCTATTATCAGGTTTCTTTGTTGTTGTTTTGCTTGATAATTATATATATATATATATATATATATATATATATATATATATATATATATATATATATATATAAATCTAGACAAATCGATACTCCATAAATCTATCAATGGCTGCGTCTGCACTTACAAACATCCCATTGTAGATGGGAGGACTGAGCATATTAGCCAAACTTGAAACAAATACAGCACGGCTATTTAACCGCTGTATTTTATTTTATTGCTTTCAGGTGGACTGCCAACGAAATCCTTCTGACCCGCTTCTATTGGCGGTACAAAGGATATTCAACGACTCAGATAATTTCTTAATTCTGAGCGCGGTTCGCTTTCCAGCGCTCCGCAAAGCGATGGAACGGATCTTCCTATACTCCAGCTACTTCAAGATGATTACGCATATCAGCGACAAGATTCTCAAAGTACTGGAGCTGCGTCAAAGCGGGCAGAGCCCACGTGCAAACGACATGCTGCAACTGATGTTAGATGCTCAAACTGGCAGCGAAGATGCTAACGTCGATTTCAAGAAACGAGCTAAGGCCATAGAGGACCGACATCTCCTGGCCAACTGCTTTATATTTCTGGCCGCCGGCTTCGACACCACCGCATCGTCTCTGAGTTTCGTCATGCACCTGCTGGCAAAGTATCCTGAAGAACAGGAGCTTGTCTTCGACGAGATCCAAAAGACGTTTCCAGGAGACGCCGAGCTGACCTACGACGGGCTTCAGCAGCTGAAGTATCTGGACATGGTGATATGTGAAACATTGCGTATGTATCCACCCGTAGTGATGTTTACTAGCCGGCGCTGCAAAGAAGATACAATGGTGATGGGACAGCTCTTTCCTGCAGGCGTCAATGTCATTGTGCCCGTGTGGCACATCCACCACGATCCCGAGTTGTGGCCAGACCCTCAGAGATTTGATCCGAAAAGGTTCGACGGAGAGAAGTCGCGCAATTCTGCCGCGTATCTGCCGTTCGGAATCGGGCCAAGAATGTGCATCGGAAAGCGATTTGCGCTTCTTGAACTTAAACTGGCCATCTGTAAAATTGTGAGAAAATACAAGGTCTTCCCGTGCGAGCAAACGCAAGATCCGCTAAAGTTTTCCGTGCCTACTGTAGTACTTCATCCAAAAAGTCCTATTTGTGTTAAGTTGCAGCAACGATAAAAAACAGACAGATTTTGCAGTATAAAGTATACTGCTAGCGTTTTGTGTTACGTATATATTTAAAAATTTGTTACAACTTTATATTTTATGTTGGATTAACATTGTTTCATCCAAAGATTTTTATGAATGTTATGACAATTTACAGTTGTAGTAGATTTATTGACATAGAACGTGCATGTTTCATGAATATACAAATCGTAAAAAATTATACTGACATAGTTTAGCTTGCTTCCTTTTTTTACAGAAAGCTATCACCAAATAAATGAAAAATTTGATGCAACGATTAGTGTCTACCGGTTTTTTTTTCTTGCTTTAAGAAATCGCCAGTAAGAAATGTTAGCTTCAGCAATGGACTGTCTCTTTGTAGCATCCGCAAAATTTGTCAGTAAATAGAAAAATGTCAGTGTAGAGACCAACATTCCTCACCTTAAAATCACACTGCATTGAACTTTGTTAAAAAAATACGTTTTTTTATGTGTTGTAACAGCAAGTTGCAAAATAAACACTCGTGTGCGTTGAACGCCTTCACCACTGTTCTGAGCTGAAAAAAAAAAAAAAAACAGGTATGTTAATTGTATGCATTGAATCTGCGAATTCGCAAGAGTGCCAAGCATCTCGATCCCCGGAAAGCTAAATTTAGTTGATAAAGCGCCAGAGATAGGATAAAGCAAAGGGCGTTCCGCAGTCTATTTTTTTCTCTTAATTGAGTGGCGAGAAATACTTTGATGTGCTCTCCTGATCCGGCATGCTACTCTCCTAATAGTTCGTAGCTCTCTTTGCAGGTCGTCTTGAGCAAAACGAGTTCCCGTGCGGCGTCGAGCGCCGGCAGCCGTTTATACTTTTCTGCATCAGTCTCGCTCATTATTTCTCTCTGTCTCTCGCTTTCTCTTTCTCCCTCTCTTCCTTTCTCTATCCCTCTCTTTCCCTCTCTTGGTCTCAAGTCTCGCCTCAGCTTCTCGCAAACACATGGGCTGAAGGCCCATGTGCTTGCGAGAAGTCAGTTTGACTTTTCTGTCAAACTGACTTCATCTTTTTTTCGTACAAACGGCGTAGCGGCACCAGCGCTATCAGACATCCGACATTGCCACACACATCCACGTTTACTGAATTCCTCCTGTAATTTGAAGGCTTGAAATATATACTTTTAGGAGAGAAAACAACAGTCCCGAAGATGGACAGCTGGCTGCTGACGACAACAGCAATGGTTCCCCTTGTAGTTGCGGCGACCGCTGTTTTTTTTTTTTTTTTTTTTTTTTTTCTGGGTGATCTATCGACGATATCAGCGCGACTGTTCAGAACACATGAAATTTCAGGTCCAGAGTTCGAGCTCTTCTCCGGCATCTGGATGCAAGTCAAGGAAGACAGGGCTGAAGTAAGATCATTGAGTCGTGACATGGACACTCCCCGTCGCACCTGTACGCAACTAATACTCCGTTCGTGTTTTATTTTAAGCGAAGCCTTTAGAACATTTTCTTATCACTGTTTTAAATATAGCGTCATAACTTACCAGCACCATCTGGGGACTGTTCTTACAAACATTGACTATGCCGACTTGGATTGTCTCCGAAGGGTGCAGCTTTGGTAGGTCTACAATATTGTTTTGTAATATTTTGATCTGAAATACGTGTATTTATTTGTACGTATGCATGGAAATTTACCGTATAAGACTTTCAGAACATCACATAAAATGTTTGTTAAAGTTGCCGTATTATGAACTTATTGTGGAGTTCTGTAGTCTAATTTAGGGTGGTATGGCTCCATGACCATCTCACACAAATATGTTCACGTAAAAATAGGACAGAATATTTTAACTTTTCATGTTTCTTACCATTAAAACAAGCATTATCGCGGCAACATAGCGAACGAGCGAACTTCATAAAAACAATGAAACCCTCGGGCAAAACCGTCAGGGAGCCTGTAATTGTGTGTCCGCAGACCTTGGCAGAGCAGCTCGTCTTACAAGTGCACCCATTACCATTAATGCGGCCGGCAAACATTATTCTGCATTCATGAAATAGAAACATTTGTATCAGTTGAACTGCAGGAAATTTCACAGATGAAAGAGCCTACATTTTAGTCTCTATAATTTAAGGACCCCGTAGTTAAAACCTGATAAACAAATGCCAAGTGTTTGGACAAGGCTAGAAAATACGAACAAATATCCTAATTATCACGCAATATTAACGACAATAGTTTGAATTATACAGAGCGAAGGTCAACTAGTAGGTGGTTATTATGACACAAATTAAGCTGAAAATAAGGACAACAATAACGAAATTTCCAAAGCAGTATATATGAAACAAAAACAGGCTGTAGAGAAGATCTTGATATCAATATACTCAAATCATCGTATAGTATAGCAATATTTTTAGACGTAATCTGAAGTACAGTAATAATGCAGTGAATATTTCAGCCGTTTTTGTCTCTCATAGATATTGAGCATTCACTTTATGCAATGATTCGGCTCTTATACTGACTGTGGGGTTCCACGGAAAATGCCAACTTTCGAGTCCCCGGCTGGCTGAATCTGATATTGGCCGGTATGCTCGCAGTCTCACGGAGGCGTGTAAGAAGAAGCTGTACACACGATTAAGCTCTCACGGGTCAGTAGGTCCCCAAGGCCAGTTTCCTCCATGCACGGTTTTTTCTAGCTACGAGTTACAAACTCGCCCGATATCTACTAGCTAGTCGTACATAGCACACTCCAACAGGTGAATGAATACACACTATCTCTATGGTTTCTTACTGAGTGGAAGCTTGCGCTACCTTGCGATTATGAAATAAATTAGCGGCAAAGAAATATCACATTTGGTAACCAGAAATGGGTATTATTATAGCCGTTTTAGATTAAAAAATAGCATTTCTTTTAGAAATATTATTATCGCATGTTTAAAGTTGCTAAAATATGAATTCGACAAGGTACGACGTTTCTTTTTTTTTATTTTAGCTCGAAAGTTGAAGACAGTTTGGTTTATTATGCGTATGCAGAAAATCACAAACTGGTATAGGCTAGGGCGCCGGCTAAACCCCAAACAGCGTCGCCGGCTGATCCCATCGGAGCAAACGAAGCTCAAACAATGTGGTCGTGCAAAGTTTTGGTGCAACAATCAAAATCACGTGTTTTCTTAGATCCAGAAAACTTCCGTTTAGAATTTGCAACCATATTTATTACATAGTTAAGAACCACGTGTTTTAAAAGAAGGAATGTTTTAGAGTGAAATGTAAAATATCTGGGTTCAGTGTATTTAATGTCTACGTGCTGTTTTATATTGCGTTAAACGCCCGAAAACTATTAATATTATTATTAAGTTTTTGTGTTTGTTTGTTTTTTTTCAATATAAATTCCTCCGAATCTGCTCTTAAATTTTTCGCTCATATGTACTAATTTAATCTTTGTTTCGTTCATTTTTTGAGCTGAAATGCTTAAAGGCATTTAAGGTATGTTGAATATATAAATAAATAAATCAGAGCAGCACTGACTGAATAAATTGAATATTACGAACAAGTAAAAATTACTTTTCGCATCGAAGACACAGTTAGTAAACAGGCGAGCTGGGTTATATCCCTCATAATTCAATCCGGAGATGACGGACGACACAAAGACGACAACGCACAAAACGTTTTGTCCCGTTTTTTCCTACGTCGTCTACGGTTCAAAATGTCTCTGACAATGTTTATTTTATACGGAGAAAACATAGCTCAGCATTTTCCTAAAAGTGAAAATAAATATTTGGTAAAACCAAACAATCTCGTATGCGATCTGCTGAGGCTGTCAAAGAAATAAACTTCAGGTTTGGTAATATGTTTTGCGCGATAGTGCAGGGTGTTTGTGAGAACTGAAAAGCGTCGGCACACGTAAGTCAACTTTACATAGCAAACGTGAAAATCTGACACTTTCGGTGATGCCCTGATGATAGAGCGTGAAGGTTTGAGAAGATGGCGTTACCAGCTCAACAGTTAAACGAGGACGAAATTTTCCGATAAACCGAGGTCCACCTCAGCCTAGTATTGTCAAAACAAGAAGCGACTGAGTGGACGCATGTGCTTTAAATTATAAAGAAAAAAACTCCTCGCAGCGAAAACAAACGAACAATCCGTTTTTTTTCCTGTTTTTTTTTTTTTTTTTCTGACCCTGTTTTATTTTTTCTTTAGTTAATGTTACAGATTTCTACTATGTCGCTTCGTTTTTGATGATATTATGCTCAGAAGAACGTCGGTTTATTTAAAAATCTTGTTTTCTTTTTTTTAATACAGATAATATCATGTTCTCAAAATTTCGTATCCTATCGCCACCGCGAGCGGAACATTGTGATACGTTGTCCAGCTTTCAGCAATTCGTAGTTCATTTGAGAGCCAAACATTATGGTTATCTTTTCTCAAAAAAGTCCTTTACGTTTATTTTAGACACATTAACTTTTTTTTAAGCTGACCTCGGCACTGTTTACGTACAATATTATTCACAGTGTATATTATATGTTACATAACCTGCAAAGCACACCAACAATTCCTCTGTGCTTATCTACAATATGATTTCGAATGACCGAACTTATCTAAAATACTATCGCATATGACTGAACCGTGCTGATCAAAATAAAAATAAAATTAGAAAGTATTAAAAAAAAACATTGTGCTAGCCCGGATTCGAGCTCCGGATTTCCTCATAACCGGAAAGGTGTGGTAACTTCTGCACCACTCCAATATGTTTTCACATTCCACAGCACCACTTTGTCATTTGACAATTCCTTTCTCCTCACAAATGCTCCACACGCATAATGTATCCAATCAAAGGTGTTCTATAGCAACGGTTCTTAATTTTATGGCTGTTTCGGACTCCCTAACAGACTCGGCGGAGATTCAGGGACCTCCACTGAGTTCATTGTTAAAAGCGAGAAAGCACACATAGAAGGGCACGCGAATCAAGGGCCAGAAAGGGGTACATTTTCGCAGCTGCCCGAATTACGTTATATGTCCTTGATATAAACTGCTGGCACTCGCAGGATACGATCTGTGTGAAAAGTTGTTTTGCATGTTGTAAACAAAGCTGCTGACGTCAAGCTCACTAGAAGAAAACCGATGATGAATACACTGTTATTAACGAAACAGCTGTTTATTTAACGAATACAGTATAGGGAAGTTTGTCTTTGAAATCACTTTGCACATGATAAAATTTGAGGTTAAACTTGTGGGGCACTACTCCTAGCCTCAGGAAACTTCCTCTGCCGTTCTCCTTCATCACACCTTCAGCGAGTGCCCCGACCACAGTCAAACTCCACACAAAGGCGGGTGAGCCGAACTCCTCCACAGCCTAAGGGGTCCCAAGTTTGCGAGTTAGCGGGCGGAAGACTCCACAGTTGAAGGGGGTTAGACGTGCTGGTCGGTCTCCAAAGGCCGGGTAATGTTCACGGCCGGGTGTCCGGGCGCCTGCCTCTGTGGGATGGATGGATAATACGTTTATTGGATATCTGCCTTCAGGCTGGATGGCCTCAAGGTAGGCAGGGGGATAAGGGAGGGGGGGGGGGGGAGAGTGA